AGTGCGTATGTGGCCTATACAGTGAGTTGCGGTGGCCAGCCGATGTACAAGTCAGTGGTTTTATCCTTCCAGACAGGTGTGAATTAACCGACCCCGGAGGGACGGAAGGCTTGGCTGGCCTAGGTAGATATCGATTCGGGATTCGAACGCGTGACCCTGCGTTAGTGAAGTGCACGATTCGCCACTACACCACCTTTGCTCTACGATTCTGGATGGAAGCCGAGTGGGGGCGCATCCCTCAGACGGGATTGATTAACGTCAGAAATTTTATCCTTTATCCTTATTTTGATTGACATCAGGTTCGCATTTTATTGACATTTGTTTCGTGCTAAAGGGTGCTGATGCTGCCCATGCTTTGCTGATGAATAACGGAGTGGCCCTTTTCAGATTTTCCTTTCTTACAACTAGTAATCTTCTTTACCCAATCAGCGTGACTAGCATGACATATTCTGAACATTAAAAAAGGTTTCAACACATATCAATCTTCTTGCAAACGTCTTTTGGTGCAGTGCCAGATTCGAGTTCCTTGATGATTTTGTTCAAATCCTGGTCGACGAATTTCTGGCATTTCTTGGTAGCGAATGGAATCTCATGGAGCAATGCCTTGCATTCCTTGTTGACTGCCTGAATAAAAGTTATTTTGAGAAGTTTTGAAAAAAGTCATCATCTGATAAATCAATGTAAATGACCACCGCACTGAACGACTCCGACTATTTCCGAGTGATCTTCGACCAAACTGCTAATTTTGTTGGTTTTCTCGGTCTGACGTTAAATAGAGAGCTCCCACTGCACCGGTTAGGACTCCCAGGTACCTAATCCTATATAAGCACTATGTTTCCAACAACACTACCACTCAGTACATGAAGTCCACACTTAGAAGCATCTCACCGGTCTGATTCATCATGAACATGGAGACAATTTCTTAACTCCCCGGTTCGAGAGAATTATCTATTTGTTTTTATTGGAGAAATAATTAATCCATTTTTCTGGTAGAACGAAGGTGGTTGGCAAGTGGAGGCATTATCACACACGCATGGTCATGTGTTTGAATCCCGCATCCGCTCAGGTCACCCAAGTCTTCCATACCTCCGTGGTCACCTAGTTGGTAGCAAACCCGTCTGGGAGGATAAAAGTACTAATTTTTACTACTGGCCATCGCAAGTCATTGTGCCAAGCCACACGATTATTCAATAAGCCCTTACGATTGTGACTTGATGTCAAGTAAGGGGCCTATACCTCATGCGGGTGATAAATGTCTAAAGACTTTATCCTTGATGTAGCAAAAGCACGTTCTCGACAGTGATTACCTGGAATTCCATAATAACAATCAGAAGAGGATATCTACGAGGTGGTTAGCAGCAGAGAAAGGGAAAGGTGTCATCTTAGTTAATCTTTGAAAGTGAATGTTTGAGACTTATATCATGGTCAAGCCTTGCTGTGCCTATATTATTCTTCACTGCTGGTGGATGGTATACTTGCTATGAGTTCATTTATAAGCTTTCTAGGATGTTTTGGCCACAACATTCGGGCTTCTTGTTTTTGTTTCAGTTTTTCCCCGTTGCCATACCATCCAGTTATAAACCAACTACCCTTTTACTCTTTTATGGTTAAACCAAACATGATCATTCATCTATTATTCCTTTAACTGAATAGAAATAAGTCTCAGAAGTTCCTAAACAATTTCAATCAAGAGTTGGGCCACAAATCTGCTCGAGGAACTGAATAAAGATCTAAACTACCTGTCTCAAATCTTTTCAAGTGTGAGAGGACTCAGATTTAGCAGTGGAAGACAATTTGAATTTTCTACTGACACAGAATTCCAGTATAGCTACTTTCAATCTTTTAAACCCTTGAACTTTCAAAGCTTACGTTTTCGATATCTTTGGTGTCTTGGTCCATCATTGGCACAACTGTCCTCACAGCCATTTCACACATGTCACACTCGAGAGATGCTAATTCCGAGGAACGGACTTCAGCTTTGATCTGCATTCCGATGGCGGCGGAAGCAACAATGGCGATAAGTACGACAGTAAGGGCTTTCATCTGAATCTCTATGGTTTTGTAATTGTTTATTCATATTGTAAACATGTCAAGGCAGAGGTTCCTAATAAGTAAGCATACTGTAGTTTAAAGACTATCACTGCTCAGGAGCTAGAAGAGTTGTAATTGGCTAATAGATTGAAATGGTCCAATGGCAGTGTCAATAAGAAATGGTGAGTGCGAAATCTCTCTACAGTAGATTGTTTGGCTCAAGATCGTGTTGAATTTCAAAATTCTGACATAGACATTGATCAGTTCCCTAAATTCTATTGAAACTCTGTAAGGAGCCGGTTAGGAGTAGAATAGATGACATACATATGTATCCCATAGGCTCGCGCTGAATCTCGTTGATGGCGGAGCTGGTGTAGCGGCAAACTACGCTAATCCCAGGAAAACGATTTATCATGAATCCCCATTAAGTGTTAAAGATTCTGGTAGTCTGGGAGGTACGACAACTTCATTTCACTTCCCTATTATTATACAGCTTCGAAGGTTCTGTAGGGTATTAGTATGAGTGACCGAACAGTACATATCATAGGCCGATCCCATTCTATTAGGCTACGACAAAGGGGATTCGCCGAAAAGTTAGCCATTCAAGGTAGCTAACAACCCGTGGTGGATGTATTAGTAGAGCTTTATCAGGAGTCTTGAATTCATCCGATAAAATATTTCGTAACAGAAGGATGAGACAGCTTTACTATGGTATAATGGAAATGCCGAGCCGGGTATGTCAAGAAATTGGCTATGACAAGCTGCACCCAACATAAACGTAACTTGAGAACTGTTTTGGCTTCACACAGCACAGTCTGGGTATTAGGCAGAGTGGGAAATGTGTTGTGAAGGCAGTAGAACAAGGGAAGATACATACATTCAAAGAGGCTGAATGCAATAGTCATGCCTTTGATGGGGGGAGAAAGGNGGGGGGGGGGGCGAACAAGATGAAAATGACCTGAATGAATTCAAATTTAATTTGAAGGAAATGGAGAAAACATTGAGAAAGTTAGTATGAGAAGGTGGTTTCGGCACAATACGGCAATGGTATCGGAGAGACCCTGCTCCGACTCAGATAACAACGGTAACTTCGCAGCTCTTGTTTAGGGCCAAAGAAACAGATTAGGCTCCTTTATATGTGAAGCTGTCACACGCCCTGATAAGGGCTGATATGAGACCACCATTTGACGTAGTACTGATATGATAGGGATTAAGCTCTACCGGCAAACAAAGCAGAATTCTTGTCGGAATTCCTCTACTAGGAAGTTCTGGAAGAGTCTCTAGGTATTCCCGTATGTCTTACTCTGTAGTCTCCATTGGAGCTTGATAGATAAACAAATAAACAAACAGCGTCAAGATGAGCATACGTGTTTGCTACTATGGACAAAATAAAGCGGTCCACATATTTGTACATCATTTTAATTTTATGGCACTTATGCGAACTTACAGTATTCTCCTGCCAATCGGTTGTTATTTACGGGAGAGTACCAGCTGTACTGATTCTGCTAAGCATTTTATTGTTATGGAGCAGCTGAAAACCCAAGGAGCCCCTATAAGCATTTCCGTCGTTGTGATTCCCCCTATAAGCGGTGCGGTCCTGGGAAAAGTGCTACGCAAACAATCGGACAAAGACTAATCGCCCAACGGTGCCGATTTCACCAGGGTAGCTATCGGAGAGTAGGAGGTAGTTAACAATCAGAACGGTTCATTCAGCCTTGTGTAGAGGAAATTAGTATCCTATGATGGGTTGAATCGTGTGGGAACGAGGCCGTGGAGGAAGGTATGAGAGACCGTTTACCATGTTCGGC